TAAACATTAACATTGGCTCACAAAATTAACACAGGCCCACAGTCTGGTAACTTCTAGATCAACCTGATTTCTTATCAGGTTATGGCTGAAAAAGGTTAATTAAAATTCAATCCAGTCTAGACTGTGGGTCCTGTTCTCTTTTTGCTATTGCTGTTCAGTGACATCAAATACATCATAATTATATGTGGGAAAGACTAGGAAGGGCGCCAGCAACTTGTTTAAATAACATTTATATCATTTTTAAAGCTCATCAAACAAAAATAACATTTCAAAGTTTTATAAGGTTTGGGAGAATCTCTATCAGATAATAATAATTAGGTAGTTCATGAATAGAAATATACTCTATGAAAATAGTGTTTTATCATCTACTATACATATAAAACAAAAATTTTTCAATCTGTATAGGAAATTTAGATAAGCCTAATTCAGATAATAATCAAAAACTATGACAATTTCAGATAGGGGCTGGAGATAGTTTTACTTTCTAAAAAGATTGTACAATAAGAACCATGTAATAAAATTAAAGGACAAATCGTGTCCAAAAAAAGTTTCTTCGGTATTTTTTAAGCACCCTCAATAACTTAGAAGTACTTATAAAAATCAATATGCTAATTATAAATATTTCAGACATTTACACCTAGTTAGTACAATCAACTGGTTCAAATAATTAAACTAAGGAATACTCAGTTAAGACTACATTATGTCACTCTAAGACTTGAGAGGAATACATCTGTGTTTCTTTTTATTACTCCACCACTCAGATGTTTCAGTGATTCAAACTGCTCTCCCCAGAGGAAGTGGGTGTAAGAGCAGGGATGGTCGCTGAACACTTGTCTGGCATCACATCTTTACGAAGAGCTTTCTGGTCCTGCTTCCTCATCTGGAAAACGGTTACCTCACAAGGTTACTGTAATGTAGTAAAGAAGTTAATAGATAGGAAGGGCCTCTGGCTCGAAAAACCTAAAATAAAAATGTATGGAACGCATCCATCATTTCAAATCAGCCATGTTTTGCTTTATGTCAAGTACTCATGATGCTTTCAAATGTTTGGTTTTTCTGGATGACTTCTGCCATCTATATTCTAAAGGGCAGCTGTAGTTGGAAAAATATTCAAGTATATACCTTCAAAATGTCTCCCCAAACATATAGAGAATATTCACACTACAATAAAAACTCTAAATATATTAAAAACGGACACTAACATAAATCATTTGAGAAGATAGAACTTTAAAGCTCAAAGGTACCTTACAGGTTTTTTAATCCATCCCTCCCACTTTAGAAGTTACAAAAATGAACCCCGACATAGGATGTGACTTACCAATAGATTGCACGTATCCCTCATGCAGAATTTCTAATAAAGTAGAATCTCTGAAAATTGTTATTAAAATAAATTACATTCCATATTTAAAAAGTCACGGAGTGACAGGATGACCAGGTAAAGAAATGCCAGATTGAAAATGGGGGGGTCTTTTAAAACAAAAACAAAGTTGTGAACATGTTTAGCATTTAGATACTGAGATTTCACTTCACAACCATTAGCAGGATTTAAAATTATTAACCAGTGACTAGACATAGATGCAGTGTCTGTGATAGACATGTTCCACACTTCTATATTTTATAAGTGGAAGGTGCAGTGCTTCTATTATTCAGTATACTGCACATTAATAGAGCCTACAGATAAATCCAAACAGTCAAAAAACCTGTAACAGTTGTCTATGATTATTTTCTCAGTTATAGCTCATCATCTAATACTCAAAATCGATGTGTATTCCCTGAGTACAAACTGACTAGGGAATAAGAGAAAGCAAGCCCAGAATTATGAACTGTCATGGAAAACATATTTGCAGAAAATGCAGAATTGTCTATACTATGTATAGCCAATTCCCTAACATAGAAATTCTACCATTTCTGATTAATTTAGGCTCCTGGATTCTCTTTATAGATGGCTACTACCATCAAGGAATGCAAACATTAGAGGTTATAAAAGTGTCTCTTAAAAGTTTGTTGATCAAGGGGGCCGGCTGAGTGGCTCAGTTGATTAAGAGCTCGCTCAAGAGTGTGAGCTCTGAGCAACAGCGGTTCGAGTCCCCGCCCCAGCTGAGCTGCCAACAGGTGGCAGGATGGCTCAGCTAAAAAAAAAAAAAAGTTTGTTGATCAAAACAAAACAATTTACAATAGTTACCTACCTCTCTCCCTACAAATTCAATTTGACATGTTTTTTCCTACATTAAAGGATAACAGGGATTAGATCTAAATACAGTGCCCTATTTAAAAGTATTTAGAAAATGTTCACTGACTACATGTTTTGAAAGTAAGAATCAATGATATTGACTCATTACCCATAAAGCCTTAAGCATCAGTCAGTAGTCTCTTAGTATGTTTTCACAAGTAATCTTTTTAAAGATTTTTTAGTTACCCATTCAACACAAAAAATTTTGCCCCCAAACAATACCACAACCTGATTAAGAAAATCAAGGTGCTATGAAACACGCTGCAGACACACACAATTCTATTTAGTCCAGCATTCACTCAAGATGAATTTGTTCACAGGTTAAAACGAAATTATTCTGGTTTTGAACCAGATTCTCTACAACAACTGATAAAGGGAAAAGGAAATCTTAATTTTGTTCTTAACTACCCTAATTATGACAACCTGGGACAAGAATTTTCCTAAAATAGAATTTTCCAAATTGGTTTTTTACCATGGGATAGTAAGTTTAAAAAGCTGGTGGAATTAATTTGGGCACAGCAGGGTTAAACAAAGTTAAATGGTTTTCTTTTTTTCACAGGACTTATCAAAGTCATTACGGCTCTGATCCACTGTCATCCTCAGTGGAAGAGTAGCATGTAATATTTTCCAAACTTGCTCACATGGAACAGTTTTTCTGCAGAGCATCTCACAGGATGCAATTTGGGAAATACTGTTCTAGAATCCTATGGAGTCCATTTCCGTGATATTGCTAAGGCTTTATCTACAACCTAATAAAGAAGCTCTCCTCCAGAATTTTAACTGGTAGAAGTTGTTCCTGCTCCACATCTACCTACCAAATATCATACCCACAGTCAGCCAGTTGATAAGACTGGAATGTGGGAATGTAGTTAATTGATTCTATCCTCTCCCTGCTCATTTCTTTAACAAAAAGGCCCCTTAGACAATGTCCTAGTCCCTGTTATGCTGGTCTAAGCCTCCTGTAATCTGTTCTCTACAAAACAATTCTAGATTTACAGAATAGCTGTGCTTTAAAAACTTAAGCATACAAGAACCAAAACAGTGACCCTTGGTTCTCCTAGGATTCAACAGGTAACTACCAAATTGTACATATTCACGAATACTGGAAAGAATGAGAAAATAATATTTTTAACACACACAGAAAAAAAAAACCTATGATAATCACCCATATAAAGTAATTTTGACAGGAATAAGAGTCTAATATCTAATTTATTTGACTAACAAAGCTAAAATGACACTGGATTCCTTCCTGTTGTTTCTCGGCCTTCAAAATTGTTCAGGATTTTGTCACTGAGGATAAGGAATCACACTAGCTCCTTATTTCTAAGGTCATCCGATTCATAGTCAGCAAATGTTATGATGGCCTTGTTTTTTCCAAAAGAGGTATTTACACATCTGAAGAGGCCAAAATTATGCCATATCTATGATGCACAGCTGACTAAAACAACAGGACTACTGCTTATCCCTATAAAAGTAACCATAGAAAAAGCACCCTTTGGTGCCACTAGGTGGCAACCTTTCAAAGGTTTAAACTTAAAACATCTTAACTTCAACCCCACCCTCTTTCCCAACAAGGATTGCTTTTATTTTGATATTAAGAAGTCAGACTTAACGTTCTTTAAAAGATTTTTTTTTAAGTTCTACAAAACAATACGATGCAACATCGCAAACTCCTGACTCAAAACTATTTCAAGATAGACATGTTTGTCTTCCATAAACACAGGAGAAACTTGGTCTAACATTCTCATTTGCTTCTGGTAGAAAACATTATTTTTGGCAAAGAGAAACCTGTCAAGGCCGTTACTTTTCGTTTTCAAGAGCTTAATCTTTTCTAGGCTAGGTCAGGTGAATGAGATTGTTAATTACAACATACTAAAGAAAAATTGAATAAATACAAATTAGATAAATTACACATAATTTAAAAATTAAATACTTTTACTAAAACAAAATATAATCAATAAGCTATTATCTATCTACCCTGCTGTATATAGGTATTTTGTTTAAGATTACAAAACAAACCCCAAAACCTATACAAAGCAAAACAAACAAACTGGTTTTCCTTCAAATGCAATGGTGTGTGAATACATATATATATATATATGTATACAAGAAATTTTTTTTTAATATTTAAAGCTTCCCTACCCTAAGAGGTTCAATAGTGAAGGTCTATAGCCTATCAAGCTTTGGAAGTTACATAAAAACCCTTAGGGCCAGAACAGGGTTCTCAAATTGGATGGCTAGCAACCAAGGTATAGAACAAAGAAAGGTAACTAGGAAAGACTTAAAAGCTAAACCAATCCGCCACTAAAGATCACAATAAACAAAGACACTGGTGACTAGGGAAAGTGAGGGGAGGGGTGGCTACAATAACAAACTTAAACATCAGAAGAATTAATGTGTGGGATGCAGTATCTCTCTCTCTCCTCTCTCTCTCT